GTGCCCCGGGTGCAGCAGAAAGGGGTCGCGGTCGGTGAATCTCAACGGAGAACAAGGCAGGGATCACGTAGAGGGCGGTGGTGGTGCCAAGGGGAGGAGAGAAAGGGGCCTTGGAGAAGAAGTGAGGCCTAAAGAGAAGGGGTTCTCGGGCCCTAGGCATGGGCATTGAGAGTCTGCCCTTAGCCTGCTAAAGGCTAAAGGCCGTTGTTTGTGCACCGGGAGGGTAAAAGGGCCCTGTGGAGAGGAGGCGACCTGGAAGGGAGAGGGTCCCCTGAGATTGCAGGTATGATGAGGTACAGGATACTCACCCTCCAGTGAGACCTCCCGGGAGCGGGCCAGGTCGCTCTTGTTTCCAACGAGGATGACAGGGAGGTCGTGATGGGGCCTCCCAGCCCGCAGCCTAAGTAGGGTCTCTGGAACTTTGGAGAAGCTCCGTCGGTCGGTGACTGAGAAGACGATGAGAAAGGCATCCCCGGTCTGAAGGCAGTGGTCCCGCAGCCACCCCCCTGCGTCCCCCTGCATATGGGCAGAGAGTGGTGGAATGTCAGGGCTGGAGGCGTGGGAGCACCTGCCCAGCACCTGCATCTCAAGGATGAGGCATCTGGATATGAGGGAGAAGCCACCTGCCTAGGACCGCGGAGCTAGTTAATGGCAGAATCTCCATACCCTGGAGTGTGCTTGTGGAGGAGTGGGTGGTTTATAATGTGAGCCCCACATGGGAGAATTGGGGACACAGCCTCCTAGATTGGGGTAGCCCATCCTACTTTCTTATGCTTAAGTGCTTATTGTAACAGTGAATGCTCTTCAATTGTATGTAATCTGGCCTCTCATTTCTATGTAGTAACCATGTATGTTCAGATATTCACAAATCCTCACTTTTTCCCCTTCCCTGATATTCCAGGCCCTGAGCTCTTGTCCTGTCAGATCAGACTCTTCCAGACTGGAAAATGTATGGATGGGATTGATTTCAGGGTATTCAGCCTGGCTCACAGCTGCAGGGTTTGTCAAATTCAGATCCTAACTTCCCTCTGGGTCAGAAGTCCTGGAAAGAAAGCGACACTCAGTGCCATGGCATATGCATTGATGTGGGCCTTTGCTCTGGGAGAGGATACATGTGAAAGGTCAGGTTCTAGTACGTATTGGAACCAGGGCCTACAGTGCCACCAGCCTTCAGCCACGCTCTGCTCCTCCCCAGCTCTCCTAGGTTCTCACCTGTTCCCAGATGTCATAAACAACTAGAGTCACTTCCTCCTTATCCACCATGATGCGTCTTTCATAGGTGTCCTCTGTTGGGAAATAAGGACAGGGAATAGAGCCCGTTAGGAGGCTCCCCAACACTTGTGAGACCTGGTAACCAGGGGCACCCCCTCCAGGGAGGTAGCCGCAGCAAGCACTGGAGCAGTTTCTCTTAGGTTCTGGCCTCCAGGGGCTGCTCATGCCTTGAGCTCTTCCATCCCTGACTAGGGCTCCACAGGTGCCCTTGACCCTTACAGGGCTCCCCCAAATACCTGGGTTCTCCGGCTCATGAGCACTGTCTCCCTGGAGACCACCGAAAGTGCCTGCTAGGGTGCTCTTGCCCACGCCGCTCTCCCCTACCAGCATGACCTTGAAGATGCCATCCTTTTGGGTGGGGCCTGCCTCCCCTGAGCCCAAGGAGTCAGAGGAACCAGAGGATGAGGCTTGAGGTGGCCAGTCAAGTTCATCTATGGCCTGGGCGCGCCGCAGCTGGTGCTTGTAGGGGACAGGCATACTGCCTCTTCGTCTGGGGGCCCCTGGGGCAGGAGGTGGCCCACCCCGGTCCAACCCTGCCAACAGCTTCTCTGTCTTCTTCAGCAGTGAGGCATCTGTTTCTGGGGGGGGCAAAGAGAAGGAAGCTATGAGTGGGGGGTATGCCTAGCCATCTGCAGAGGGCTCAATCCTGTCTGCTCTGGTCTCAGAGCCCCAGTGGATGACCATGACCCAGAAGGAGCTGAGAATATTTGGTCTGACCTCTGACACTGAACTCCCCCAGAACCCTGCACTGGTGGGTCTCAAAGGAGCCGACTGAAGGCTTACCTAATGTGGTTCCAGCCACAACCTGTTCAAAACGTGCCCCATGCAGGGGCGGCATGCGTGCGCAGGCTCGCACACCCACTCAGGCCTCACACTGACACACAGGCACACGCCCAGACTAGGCCTCTGGCCTGGGGGGCCTGCCCCTCCTTCCACCAAGAGGCCCTGTCTTCTACTGCTTTTGGAACAGGTAGTCCCCCCAAATGGGGAGGTGTGAAGGGGACGAGAGGCTGCCGCTGCTGCCCTGGTTCTGGGGGGTGGGTAGTGGTAGAGCCAAAAACTTTGTGGGGAGGCTGTTCCCAGGGAAGGGCCTTTGCTCCTAAAGATGTGTTCGTTGGGCTTCCCCAACCACCCCCCCAGCCGAGTGTGAGAAGAGCTGCCTCTTATGGCCCGGTAGGTAGGTGAGCATCCCCCAGGGCATGGTTGTGTGTGAGAATCTTTTTGCATCTCTGGCAGTCCCTGGAGTCCCAGAGAATCTTCTGTGAGGTAGAGGGAGGGAGGGAGTGGGGGAGAGAGCGAGAGCGGAGAGCGGGAGCATGAGCGAGAGGGAGAGTGACAATGCATGGGTCAGGGTAACTGGAGGAAGAACGACAGACACAACAAAGGGGGATGGCGAGAGGCTGGAAATAGCCTAGGATCAATACTTGGCTGGCAGCCAGGGCCTCCAAGAGCCAGTGAAACCCTTCCAACAGGTCCCCAGGGCAGCCCCCAGCCCGTGATTCCCAGGCTGGTGGGCTGCCCCTTCCCTTTCCCCCATCCCTCCTGCCCATCCCAGCCTCTTGGGAATGAGGCTGACCTAGGGGCTGAGCACCAGTTTCCCCAGCGAAGCCCTGGGAGTGATGGGGGGAGGGGGCGTTTGGGCAGCACCCCCGCTGCCCCCAGCCCAGCCCAGCCCAGCCTCAGTCCCGGTGTGAGCGGGAGGCTTCCCCACTTCCTGAGTTGCTCTTCCCCTTTGCTGTTTGGGTTCAAGCTCCGTCAACCCTCAGTTCTGACCTCCCCACCAGAGCTTCAGCTCCCACCCCCATGGTTTCAGCTGGAACCTGCCCAGCTCAGCCCTCACCTGGTGTGGGTGTCCCTGGGGGGGAGGCCCGGTGGCTGCCGGAGGGGCAGAGTGCTGTGGTTTCTGTGTCCGTGTCCATGTCGGTGTCAAGGTCCGTGTGCATCGGTGTGCGTGTGTGTGTGCGTGTGCAGCCCCGCGGCTTGCAGTACCCACTCCCTCACTCAGCAGCACTGTCAGCTTTTCCCTTAAATACCACCCCCATGCCCTCCTCCCCCCCCACACCTGGGGAAATTGTTCCGCCCCCTGATGAGGTCACACATGCTAATGAGCAGTGATGTCAGCGGGATTCCCTCCTTTCTGCCTCCCCCTTCCTTTGTGTCGCTTCCCTCTGGGAGCACACACACTGCGGAGTCTGGTTTCGACCAGAACGAAGTCAGAGGGGCAAAAGAGACGGGTTCAGAGAAGCGGGGTGAGGGCTCAGCGGGTAAGGGAGCGGAGGATGGCAGGAGGCAAGGACCCAGGCACTGGGAGGTCTTTCTCCAGGAGCGGGGGACTGTGCGTCATTTGTCTGTGGACTCCCCGCCTCCGAGCCGTGTCCAGCTCAGAGTGGGTGCTCGGTGGCTACATGGAGGGCCTAGAGGCAGAAACCAAGAGATTCAGGGTCACCCTGGCACCAAGCTTCCCCATCACCCTCTCCTTCCCCATACCACCCCTTCTGGGCTAAAAGACCCATCATGGTAGCCATTTCCCAACTTGGTCCCTAGGCAGATGGGGGCTCTGAAGAAGGAGCGATGGCTGCCTGGTTCGGGCAGCTTCATTTTGTCACTAGGTTCAGGCGGGTGCAAACCATGTGGGGACTGCCTCCCCTTCTCTCGTGCCCTGCCAGGCCCACCAACCTAGTGCTAGGGGAGATTGAGCTAAGCCCTCTAGAAGTTCCCTATCCCCGCTCTCCTGCTCGCTGGGGCACCACCAGCCCTCCAGGGCTACACGACGATGTCTACCTCTTTGTGGGAAGCCAGGATGGCTTAACAGCTCCTTTTCTGCCCGGGTCCCTTTCCCTTCAGGCTCCAGCTCGTCTCTTTTCTTCCTGACGCTGCAAGCACCCAAACAGACCTTCCAATTCCCTGGCTTGTTCTCACCCCGTGTTTGTTGCCAGGTGCTGCGCTAAGCACCTTCCTGCTTTCTCTCCTGTCATCCTCCTGACCTGAAGGCTCAGAGTGGTAGGTGGCTGGCCTGTCCCCAGATTGATCGTGCAGTTGGAAAATGGGGACACCAGGATTCCCACCCTGATTTTTCCAATACCAAAGACTGTTTTTCATCTGCGATGCTGCCTTCTTTGTCTTAAATATTCCAGCTGTCTCCTATTATTGGGAACGGTCTGTATGCTAATCTTCAGTGGGCTCCTCCAATGGAAGAGACGAAGAGTAATCTTGGACTGATGTGCACTGACCACTTATCTGGAGGTGAACTGCAGGGCAATGTTCGGGGTCTAGGGGAGACAGAAAGGACTCCTGAGCAACCACCATACTTACGCACTTTACTCAGTGGAGACTCTCCAGTCCTCAGTCACAGCCCACTTGGCCTTCCTTATTCACAATTTCAGTATGTCCCTGTGTGTTCCCATACATTTAGAGTAGCAAGGGACCCCTGAAAGCCTGGTAGCAAGGGAAGTAACGCTACAAAAAACTTTGAAAGCAGTCAGAAACATTTAAAAAGTGGTTGGAGGGCATTGGGCAGAAAGGCAAACAGCTTCCCTGACAGTGTTACAGCCTCTAAAGATTGCTATAGAGAGGCCGCTGGTTTCTGGGAGTGATCCTCAGCTCTCCAGAAAAATGTATATTCTATCGCAGATGTGCTGAAGAGGAGTATGTTTAGAATGATTTCCTTCCAAAATGAGTTTTAAAAGTTTTTAATTGTAAAGGGGTGAGCTTCACGTATCTGGAAAACTCACTTAGGTGGTTGGATTCATTTCTAGGATACTAGATGAGAGTGAGTCAGGGCACAGCTGACCCCGGTGGGACTCAGCCAGCCTTGGGTCCTAGGAGCAGGCTGGGTTACACCCTGAACCACCGTCTCTCTTGTCCCACTAGTAAGAGGTTGTGCACTGGCCTCTGTCCCAGCTTCCTCAGGAATGGGAGGTCCTGTGGAATGGTGGGGCAAAGGTGAGATTTGGAACTGAACCAACCCAGGTTTAACTCTGCGTCTCCGTCGAGGCTGGGCTAGTCTCATCACTCCCTCTGGGACTGCTCCTGAACCTGTGAATTGGGTTGATGATGCTCATGGCACAGCCTTGTTATGAGGGTTCGCTATGCCTGAAAAAGGATCTGGCACTGGGCAGGTTACCCAACTCTCTTATGCTCCCACAACCTCAGGCAGTGTGGCTGGAGGTCCCTCTCCCCTCCCAGCAGGGCCTGGAGCTTGGTTCAGATCGATTCTCAAGGACTGAATTCTGGTCTGTGCTGTTATCTCAGATTCCCAGGCTGATCTCCATCTCATGCTGAGAACACCTCCCTCCTCCACAGCCAGAGCCTTGGCAAGAGTCCCACACCCTGATACTGGGTACTTTGGATGGTGGTGTCTCTGTCCTGATAGGATGTGAGGTGGTTCCGTTTCTTTTTCCTTAGGCCACGGTGCAAGTAAACTTGGGTGACTGCTCCCCAAGGCTCCACCTCTCCTGGGTGGGACCCTCTTAGTTTCCCCATGCTGCCTGCACAAGGCTAATCCCCTGTCTCCACCAACCTGGGGCTTCACCGTGCCTGACACAAGTAGTGTTACCCCTTGCACCTTCTAGAGCATACACCCAGCACCTAGAGAAACTTCTTTTAGACTCAGGAATCCAGACACACAGCCCTTTCCAGTGAACTCTACCCTCAGGTCTTCCCCCTCTGGCTTTCTGAAGCATTCCACCCTGAGGAGCATTCTTTTACCTTAAATCTTTGTCCACATTCAAGTTACAAATACCACCAGGAGATAAAAGGTCTGGAGCAGGACAAGGGATGAAGCTATCGGCTGAGGGTTTTTTTGGGGGGTGGCTATGAAGAAGAGAGGAGCAAGGGAGAGGCATAGACCACTGATGGGGAGGTGTGGGAGGGAAATCAGCACTCCCTGCTTCCCTGGGCCTGACACGGGGGGAACTCAGGGACTGTTAGCACTTGGGAAGGCCCAAAGGGGTTAGAGTACACAAGGATGGGGATTTCTGAAGGCCCTTTCCCAATCTCTGGAGAGGGTCTGGAGTGAAAGGAATCTGGCTCTTTCCCAAGTCAAGATCCCATGATCCCACGACTATACCACATTCACCCTCTGCCACTTCCCTAGTCTCTTGCTCCCTGGGAGGAGGAACATGCAGTTGGTGCTAGGTGTGAGGATGCTAACAGGCTGTGATCAACAGGGCCCCTCCACCAGGGGGTGGGAAGAGGGCAGGCCTGCCAGGAAGGGTGAGGGTGAGCCTGACGGGAGTCTGCTTCTGTTGGGGAATGCCTTACTTCCGCTTGTAGGGCACCATGCCCACCCCCATGGACTCCGACTGTATCCTTTGTCGCCGTTTTCATTTCAAACTCTGGGACAGCTTCTGTCACTTCACTCACCAGAGGCTGGGCTCCAACGTTTCTCACAGATTATTCCCTCCTCCATCACCTTCTCCAGCTCTTCAACTCCGGCCACTGCTTACACTCCCGCCCCTTTTCTCAGGTCTGGGGTCCAGCCTCCAGCCCTAGTCCTCACAGCAGCTTAGTTTGCTTATCCTGTGGATGCTCACCCTTCCGAGAATCCACAACTCTATTCCAACTACTGACAACATTCTTTAGAGTCTAGTTTGAGCCCTCTTCTAGGAAGACCCTTTGGATTTGGTCAAAGTGATGCCAGCATCTTCAACCCCGAATGTTTATGATTTTTCTCTCGATTTATCTTTGTCTGCTCTGAGGCATCCTGGCTGAGAGTTCATCTGTCTTGCCTAAGCCAGACTGTAAGTGCTTGGTGGGGGTGGAAGGTGGAGGCCAGGAGTCGTGGCTCCTATGTTCCACTAGGGACATTCTGCTTCTGTGATCTGTGCTCTGGGAGGACTCCATAAATGAGAACCTTCCAGCTACAGGGCCCAGCTGGCTCACCAGACTTCTGGCCTGGCGGTGAGTAAAGAGGCTTGGTGCTTACCGCTGGTGTCACTCACTGTAGAGCTGAGCCCCAGGGGGGTAGGTGGGGTTGGTGGAGAGAATTGGTCCTTAGGGTTCTTGGAACTTTCTTACCCTCTGAGCGGTATAAAACCCAAGGGTGTGTGGTTAGTAGGAGGAGGGCAGGAGTGGGAGGGCAGACCAGAGGCCTTGGTAGGGAGGAGCACCGTGAGGCGAATATCAGCTGAGATGGGTAGAGACAGGGCTCTGGTCATAGCTCATTTACAAAAATCTGAAATTTCTTGTTCTTTTATTTTCAACCTTGACTTGCTGGGCAATGACCTAGCTATGGGACAAAAGCATTTTTTGTGCTCTTTTTATGAGCCAGGCCCCGCAGGAAGGATCACAGTTGGCAAAACCTCAGGCTCTGCCCAAATCCTTCCCCTGGGGGCTGGAGGTCTCCAGCCAACTGACATTCTGGTGCTTAAAGGCCACTTTTGGGGAGGGGTTTCGTAAGGATGGAGTGTCCAGGCCCATGACCCTTTAAGAAATTTACTTTTTAAAAACAGCCACATGAGTGGTGGTGGTGTGGGGAGACGGTGGCGGTAGAGAGACTGTGGTCTCTGGGCATGGCAGAGGGAGCTCTGTGGGAGCCCTTTCCCCGCCTGAGAGATACCTAACTTTACAGCAGCTACACAGGGTCAACAGGAGGCTCACCAAGGCCCCTCAGACGGAGGGCCAGGGAGGGAAGTGGGGGAAGGGAAGCTGAGCTGCCCTCTAACGGGTTGTCGGCACTGCGACCGGAGCCCCCGAGGGCGCCAGGTCACCTCAGGCAAGCAGTGGCTCATCCTCCGCTTCCACCACCCAGAGCCCTGGCTCAGCCAGTGGCAACAGAAGCACATCATCTTCGTCCTCTGGAGACAGGGCTGTGGTATGGGGTTCAGGTGGGGTCCGAGTTGGTCCTGAGGGCCGAAGGCTAGGCAGGAGGCGGCCTCGCAGGGCCTGCACCACTCCAGACAACAGTGACGGCTCTAGGGGCACGGAGGGCAGTGGCCCCGGGGCCTCGGAGACAGTAGCGGGGGCCGGAGACGCGCTGGTGGATGGAAGGGGAGCCTTGACAGGCAGCGGGGGTGCTTGTCCCCCGTCCTGCCCACCCACCGCGCCCCCCTCACGGGCCGAACCTGTGTTGCCATCTAGAGCCTCAAGGGGAGCGGCAGAGGGGGTGACCTGGGATCTGGTCTCAGGGGTCCGGGCTGGGGGGTGGGCTCGAGGAAGCAGGCCCCAGCGGCGGAGCCGGCGCACGAGCCGGCGCACAGAGCGGCCCCGCGGGCGGCGGCGGGCACCTGAGGCAGCCCCTGGAGTCACGTCCTGGCGCAAGATCTGGAGCAGCGAGCGCAGGTTGCCGAGCACTGAGTTCTGCAAGGACAGGAGGCAGGGCCCGGAGTCAGAGTTGTGGCGAGGGCCAGGAGGCTAAAGAAGGACGGTACGGCGGCAGTGCCCCGGGAGGCTTGGAAGCAGGAAGGACGAGGCCTGGGGGTCACTTACGTCGTTAGGGTTCTCCGTAGGGAAGTCCTCTACAGGCGGGATGGCGCCCTGGGCAATGAGCTGCCCGTAGGAGGGCGGCGCCTGCTGCTGCACAATCTCAGCCTCCATCCGGGACAGGGGGGCGAAGATGCTGGAAGGAACGAGGGCTGCTCAGCCACAGGCGGTGCCAGCCAGAGCAGCCTGTCCTAGCCCGGACGCGTCTCTTCCCTCTGCACCCAGGCCAGGACGACTGAGCGATGCCCTGGCTTTCCCAAAAGTCACCTGAGGTCCCCTCCTTCCTTGAGACTGCTTTCAGCATCTAGCCCCGTCCTCTCCTCAGAGGAGCACCCTGTCCCTCCCGCTGGACGAGTCCGGGAGCCAACCCATAAGCAGGGCACCAGAACCCGGCCCCGGCGCGGGCACCGTCATGGTCTCGCCCTCGGTCCGCCCGGCCCGACGGCTGGCTGCACTCACTGACCTGTACTCCTGGGTGCGAATGGCATAGAGCTTGCAGGTGCAGCCCAGCGCGATGACCAGCAGCAGGCCGCACACCAGGCTGCCGATGACGGCGGCGGTAATGACTTTGCGGGGCAGGGCGTAGGAGCAGTCCCACTCATCGCTGCCGTCGGCGCAGTCTGGCTGCCCGTCGCACACCCACGTCTCATACACACACTTCTCGTCCCGGCAGCGGAAGTTGCCGGGCTGGCAGTGCCGGCAGCGTCTCTCGTCCGCTCCGTCGGCGCAGAAAGTCTGGTAGTTGCAGCGGTCGGCAGGCAGGTAGCAGGCGGTGGCCCCGGGCGTGCCGGCCGCCCCGCAGGGGAAGTGTCCGGGCGGGCAGCTGGGGCAGTTCTCCTCGTCCGTGCCGTCGGCACAGTCCCACGAGCCGTCGCAGCGCTGCGCCTCGCTGTAGCAGCGCTCCCCCAGGCCCTCGCTGGCCCCCAGGCCGGCGCCCAAGCCGCAGGGTCGATCCCAGGGCAGGCAGTAGCCCCGCACGTGGTAGGTGGCGTTGAAGCCCCGGCCACTGCTCCAGGCGACCGTGTGGTAGGCCACGGTGGCCTGGCCCGACAGCGTCTCCACGGTGACAGCCTTGCCGTTGCTGAAGTGGGTGAGGCTGCGCAGCAGCCGGGAGGGCCTGGGAGGCCCGGGGCCATCATAAACGTGTACGGCGTCTCCGTAGCCCAGGTCCAGGGCCGTGAAGCGCACGGCCAGGCGCCGGCCGTCATGGGGGTCCAGCAGCCAGAGGCAGGACTGGGGGTGGGAGGCCGAGGCCGGGTGTGCATAGCCCGGGGAAGAGAAGACCCCGTAAAAGTCTTCCAAGGTGTGATTGCAGGGGGGGGTGGGGACAGGGGCCGGGGTCAGGTCGGGGAAGGGGTCCGAGCTGCAACCTGCCTCATCAGAGCCATCGCCACAGGCGTCCACGCTGTCGCAGCGCTGGGCCAAGGGCACGCAGCGGTGGTTCAGGCACTGGAACTCCTCGGGCAGGCACATCAGCCAGTCTGCAGGAGGCACCGTGGAGAAGGGCTATGAGACACGGGAGCTGGGGGCGTCCTCCCCTCCTCCCTGCGGCTTCTACTACCTGTTCTACTAGTCCCAGACACCTCCCTGTCCAGCATACCTTGGCTGTAGGAGAGCAGGAAGCCCTGGCCCATGGGTGCTCTGGCCCCGGCATAGCTGTAGGTGATGGTGACGTTGCCCCCAGGCAGCTGCAGAGGGCTGGCTGGTGCCTCACACAGGGAGAGCCGTGGCTGGAGAGGGGAGCGCAGGACTAAGCGCTCTGAGCCACAGGCCAGGTGCAGTTTTTGGAACCTACAGGGGTGGAGGAGAGCAGGACGTGAGTTGTTTTTTGTTTTTTTTAAGATTTTATTTTTAAGTAACCTCCACACCCAGTGTGGGGCTCGAACTCACAACCCAGACATCAAGAGTCCCACGCTCCACCCACCGAGCCGGCCAGGCGCCCCATGGACTTGAGATAGTCTTGACCACCGCTGGCTTCTTCCTCTCCCAATGCTGTCAGGTCTCTTCTACCCCAAGAAGCACAAGCCCCTGCTCATCCACAATCCAAATCCAACAGCCAAATGAACTCAGCCGAATTCCTTCACAGTCAATGGCAGTAGTCCTGACAGAGGCCAGTAGCAGCATGGCATTCTGATCCCTCCGCCTCTTCCCAGACTATCCTCTTTGCCCTTTCTGGGTAAATTCACGAGAGTGAACTCTGTGAAGCAAATAGCCAGATACTTAACATGGGCCCCAACCCTATGGTCCAAGGTCAGAGGAGACTGGGGAGACTTATACAGCTTAAAAGATCTGGGGAGGCTGAGGAAGGTTCTACGCTAACTAGGAATAGCTTCTGAAACCCAGGCGAGGATGTGCAATGGATTGAAGGACTCCTCGGAGCAGCCACATTGGAGCCCAAGGACTGTTTCTAGAGTGCCTGCTGTCCTTCAGAGAGGACCAGAATCCAAACTAGATGTTGGCCCCAGCTCGGCTCCAATTCACTGTGTCTGGGCCAGAACAAGCCAGGCTTTTAGGGCAGACTCGGCCAAATCAAATTCTACTCTTTCTCCCGTCGACAGGGATGAAAACTCCATGGAGAAGTAGTTGCTGAGGGCTTTCCCATGGTGAAAGAGGGAGGGGGACGGAGGGTAATAGGGTCTTGCCCTGCTTCTCACCTCACTGTTACGGTCTGCTCCCTGCTCCCCAGGATAAGCCAGGTGCAGTTGGCAGGGGCGCTGCGGCTGTCCCGGCCCAGGGGCCTCTGTAAGGTGCCCTGCACTTCCAAGAGCACTGCCGGAGGGTCCTCACAGGCTGGAGAGAGAGGAAGGTAAGGACACTGGTTGAGAGCCCATTACTGTCATACCCCCTGCCCCCAGGCTTGAGGCCTCTAAGGGCCTGAGCTCTTTAAGGAGCAGAGAAAGCCCCCCTCTCCGTCCACACACCCACACCCACACTCTAGAATCATAGTCTTCAGTGGACCCCCTTCTTTCCCACATTTATTATAGCTTCACCTTAAGTATCAACACCACAAACGATCTGAAGTCTGCTTTGTGCCAGCCACCGGGCCAGGAGGAACAGGAAATACTGTCTCTACAATCAGGGAGACTACATCTGGCTAGGGAGATCAACTACAGATATTTGGAAAAAACCAAAATAGTACATAACAACCAGGTGAGAGCTCACACGGGGTCTGTTTCCCCGTTTGTAAAATAAGGATGGGTGATCTCCACTCTAAAACTATGACAGGTGCCAGAGGAATTCAGGGAAGAGAGAATCCTCATGGGTCTTCTCTTACTACCAAGCCCTTGGGGCCCAGGGGCATCCTCTACTCACCAGGATTTGGGAAAATGATCCGGTCTGGATGTGCCAGAGCGCCTCCTAGAGGAAGAGCGAGAAAGCGCAGGGGAGTGAATCGCCCCTAGTTTTCTTCACCTGAGCAACTCAAGGAGGAAAGGTAGCCATCTGGGACTTCCGGGTAGTTTAAGGGAAGGGGCAGTGGAGCTGGGGGACGCTGCGCAGTGTGACCTCGAAGGAAGGTACGGCAGTACGGCCTGGGGGGTGGGCATGGCGATCTAGGGAAGCCCAAGGGAGGATGAGGGCTGAGGGGAGCGGCGGGCAGCTTCCCCGGGGTCGGGGCAGGCAGCGTCGGATGCGG